CCGGGCAGCCCTTTTCGCGTGGCTGGGAGGGAGGAGGGGGAGTTAGGGCAGGGACTTTGGGGAAGGGGTGGGGAAAGGGCGGAGTTGGGGCGGGGCTGGGGTGGGAAAGGGGCGGGGCTAGGGCCTGTGGAGTGTCCTCTTTTTTTATTTTTTAAATATGGTAACCCTAACATAGGTAAATATCACTATCCTCATTTTACATAAAGGGAAACTAAAGTTCAGAGAAGTTAAGGGTCAGACAGCCCAAGGTCATACAATAAGTTGGTGTCAGAACAATTATTATAACTTATAGCGCAAAATTGGATGCGCAAGTTTGAAAATTTAGGCCTAGATCTCCCAATCACTAGGCCACAGTGCCTTCTGGCAAGTTCCTTACACTTTCTGAACCTTTGGTCTGACCCGGTACGGCCTTTCTTATGTTCTAAAAAGGGCGGGCGGGAGATTCCATTCAGCAGTGGATCCTCTGGCCTCGGCCTCTGCAATATCCATCCCCCGTCCCAACCCACCATCAATGCAGAGATTCTGCCCATAACCTCCTGGAATCCAGACCAACACCACTTCCATCGCCTGGCTGGTCTCCAGGGCTGTTGTCTAGCTCCTAGGGGTTTTAAACTCCAGTCCCAAATGCAGAAGTTCCATGGGGTTTCTTTTCCCAGCTTCCGAAAGGCATCCAAATCCCTGTCTGAAAAGTGAAATGAAAAATTGGATGGCGCGTGTTTCTGTCATGGAACCAGGTGACCTCAGCGCCTGGAAATATATGGTATCCGTGCTGTTTGCATGACAGGTCTCTGCATGTTATAACCCTGGCAACAATCAGTGCCATGGAAGCGAGCTAGCCTCTCTTTCGTTCCTCTCAACAGCTCTTGCTCCTTTCCCTGATTAAGAAAAAGAGCTATTTATGGGAATAAACAAGGTGACCTCTATGTGGCTGATTCAGAGTCATAGTAGGCTCATACCCCCTCAGAAAAGAACAAAACTCTTAAACCTCCATCATGTGCATTTGTAACTTACATTTAAAATGGAAGAAAATTGTTTAAACAAAAGAGGTGCTAAAATAAAACAATTAACTGGAATTCAAAGATTTCTGCATTCCCAATTACTTCACCTGCACAGTCTGGGGGAAATAGCCAGCATTTCCAGAGGAAGCACTTTTTGTAGCTTTTAAACTCTAAAAAAATATTTTTAATCAACTTTTTCCCCCCCCCCTTCTAAAAATCAGTGCCCAATGACCTGCAGGCAGGAGACAGCCGAGGATAGTGTTGCTGGCTGCAGAGTGAATGTTATGATCTAACTGTCCCGCTGTGATATGGACGTCACTGAATCTCTAGTCTTTCTGGAGTAACGTGCACAAAAATGTGCTCCATTGAGGATGGGGAGGCAGGTAAAAAAGGGTGACCTGTGCCCTTAAAGAAAAGCGGTGAGAGTGGAAGGATGATGCAGGAAGAGGAACAAGAAGGGAAGGTGCAGTGTGATAAACTCAGGAGCTGTAGATGCTGATAAAGGACTGTGGCAGTAAGAAGTTGCATTGTGCTCAATTACTGTGACTGGTTGAACAGAATTAAACTATGGTTACACATGAAAGGAACTTGGTTCGGATCAGTTTAATGTGACTGGGCATTAGTAAAGTTATATAGTGATTGACTGAGCCAAAGTTATAAAGAGAAAAGACGTGTGTACATTCTCTCTGTGTCTGTCTCTCTCTCTCTGTGTGTGTCTTTCTATCTTCCACAGTTCCAAACCAGTGAAATAATACAATGTGACTGTCCTCTGAACTGGTTCCTGGAAAATGCAGAAGAGGTTCAGGGATGCTGGCTCTGTGCCAAATTCTGCAATCTAACATGCATGGTGAAATTCCATTGACCTCAGAGAAATTGCAGAGGTGTAACCAAGACCAAATTTTTTCCAGTGCCTCTGTATAATAATTGTGTCATTTTATGCAATAACAAAATGAATGAAGCTGTTTACATTACAATTTTTCCCACCTAGCATTCCTAATTATTCTAGTGCTCTATGGGATTCTGTGCTCCACCATCCCCAGATTCTCACCTTAGGATCTAAATTTCGCATAAGTTGCAGTGTTTGTTTCCAGAACAGCAGCGATCCTGTGAAACCGACTCTACTAGGGGGTGTTTCAATAGGGGCTTTATGTGTGGGAAGATCAAAATTGCTCCAAAAATATGCCAAGTCTGTACAATGAAGGGGACTAAATTCTGCCCTTCTGTGCCAGTAGCTCCACTTTGATTTCATGAGCGCAGCATGGGAATCCAAGCACAAATTCGAAATGGCAGAATATACCTTCTAGCTGATCACAGGATACATGCCACATACAATGATACAAGCTCCTCTTTTCCCACAATTGGTGGTCACTTATGGTTATTATTGCTTGAATAATTCATTGCTATATTTTTATGACTTCTTTTCATCAGATCCTCATTTACATTTTTTTCTCATTACCTGACCAGCTCTGCGTACATTTTTGTTTAGGAGACAAATGGGGGAAAACTCACAGGAAGAGCCACCTTCTTCTAACACTGAGCAAGGAACTTTACTAGAATGCGGAAAACAATAGTA